ATAATACACTGGATAATAATGGTCTACTGAGAACATAATACACTGGATAATAATGGTCTACTGAGAACATAATACACTGGATAATAATGGTCTACTGAGAACATAATACATTGGATAATATTGGTCTACTGAGAACATAATACATTGGATAATATTGGTCTACTGAGAACATAATACATTGGATAATGTTGGTCTACTGAGAACATAATACATTGGATAATGTTGGTCTACTGAGAACATAATACATTGGATAATGTTGGTCTACTGAGAACATAATACATTGGATAATGTTGGTCTACTGAGAACATAATACACTGGATAATATTGGTCTACTGAGAACATAATACACTGGATAATATTGGTCTACTGAGAACATGATATAGTTAGTAGATAAATACTAGTCTACGGATAACATGCTACACTGGATAATACTGGTCTACTGATAACATCATATAGTTAGTGGATAAATACTGGTGTACGGATAACATGGTATACTGAACTTTCCAAAGCTATGGCAAGGCTTCAAACTAACTTTTCCAACCACTGACAAATGTTTGCTAGTTGCTTTAAAATTTACTTGAAAAAGTGCCAGGTATGCTGGAAAAAGCAAAAAAAAGGCAACTGTTTTAAGAATAATAACATTATCATTTAATCATAAGAAAATTTGCATACTGTGCAGACATAGCTTGCAAATTTATTAACAAATTGTGTCTCTCCCTTCTCTCTCATAAAATCCTTATTTCAGTAAAGGTGAATGAAAGCTGTATATTCAAGTCATTGCCCAGACAACCATCATCTACTAACTAACTTTTAACCCTTTCACTGCACAATATGCTGGTTGTTTCAAGATCAAGGATGTTCCTGCTCGTCACAGTATTTTTTTAAAAAGCATCTAGATCCCATCACAGCAGAGGGGAAACGTTTTTTGGTAGCCATAGAATATATCTGAATTTCTCAGTCACCAGGTATAAATGTTTGTTTGGATATCCGAAAGTCGCAGCAAAAGGGTTAAATTTGCCACTTTCCTTGTTCTTCAGAGCTGTTAACAGTAATACTCATAAGCTGGTCATATGTGTTTGTATTCAGTGTGAATCACCAAACATGTTTTACTCTCTTCATGGTGCTGATATCATGCAATAGATAGGGAGTAAATGTTGAGTGCACTAGTTTAAAGACATTCCTACAAGTCTCCCCTATTAGTGTCATCCTGACTTGCATGCAGCCACACAGACAGTGGATGAATCCCTACAATCAGATGGCCAGCCTACCTGACGTACATCTACTAACTCATGTAGAGGAATCAGAATGTAATAGCCACAGTTCTGTAAAATTGTGCTGAAATATTTTTTCATATGTTCAACTTGTTTTTTCAACACCATAAAGATGATAATCTAGTCTGCCAATATTTATGGTCAAACATGCTATAAGATGTATCTCAGTTTGATCACCTCTAAAATGATTTATTTTAGTTTCAACACTGTTTGGTAAGTCCCTTCTCAATTGTCCATTCTGAGAGGTACACCAGAACATCAGTGAATTATTGTCCTTTCTTTTCAAGGTTTCTCACTGTCTTCAAAACAGTATTCCACCTGCACAATTATGTTTAGTGAGTTATTCAGAAGTTTGGAAAGGGAACATTATTTATGCTGTTTACATCTTGTTCCACTGGCTGAAATGGGCTTAGAAAATTGATGTTTCATTATTTCTTCTATCTCGTTTGCTTTTCTAAGCCTCTTTTAAGATTTTTTGTAAAATAGGTAGATGGATGTCAAGATGTAACTACTGTATTGTACTTGTTTATGATGTTTTAAAGATGTTCTTCAGGGCAAGATCTAAGATAGTTTACGGAAAACATACAAAAGTTCACGCTGCTAAACCCACTGCAAGTACGACTGCAATGAAACAAACATGAAATAAAAATATATTTATGAAAAAATTAAAATGTTTTTATGTACATATATAAACATGAAATCCTTGTTAAAAAATAAAAATACTCATTTATTGTTTAGGTTTATTTACAAAAAAGTTTGCCCACATCACATTTAATGACAAAATGTAAATGTCAACAATTTATTCCAAAGCCTATGACCTTGGATTTAAATATACTATGCAAAAAACCAAAATCGTTGAAGACCACCTCCAGTGCTTTCACAATATCTAAGAGTTGGCATATTTTACACTTATAAGCTCAAGTTATGCAAAATGAGGATAAAGGTTTTTATTATCTGGAGCTACACAATGTGTTTTCCTGTGTCAATGCTGTCATCAGTTCACAAGAAAAGTAAGTCAGAAACATGTAGTTGTTGTCATAACTTTGGTGATGAAGATCTTAAATGCTTTATGATTGCAATACATTCTGTTCTTTGAGAGGCCATTACATTGGTGTTACAGTATGATTGAACAACTTTTCATTTTTATACAACATCAGAGTCCATTTTTCAGGGCTTTTCCACATCTCCTGGCTCATTTCTTCTGCTGCACAGTGAGCAGTACGTACATAAAAATGAGCTTCATATTTCATGTCCTTTTTTAACACATTCTTGGTACCAGGAATTTATTGTGCATCATTGTCAGGGAAAGTAAGATGGAAATATGTTATTTAAAGTAACCTTGGCAGTATCTTATTTGCCCATCCTTTTACTCTATTGCAACCAATTAGTTTTCAATTCTGTGACCCATCTGTGGACAAGTTTTCACACAGCAGCAAACTTCTGTCCCTTTTCTAAGAAGGATGGCATACTGCCTCTGAAAACTTTCTGATGCTGTGGCTGACAGCACCATTGGTTCATCAGATGTTGATGGCATATCTGAAGTACTGGCTGAAGTTGGTTCAACTAGAATGAAGAAATGGAAAAATAAAATGAATAAAAATAAACTGATTCATAAATAGAATGAATAAATAAATAATATAAACTAACTACAAAATATAATATTATATAAAACACAAAAGTAGAAAATGGCCTTCACTAAACCTAAGTTCTTAAAACAAAGCCTACAGTTTAAAAAAAAAAAAGAGTATAGATCAATATACTCACAATTGGAAATCCAAATGACTCAAACACAGTCTTCCCAGTATTAAATAAGTCCTTTTATTATTGAAAAATTAAGTTTCATATATTCAAACAACACACAAATATAAGAGCTTCTTATGTGTAAAAAACTATAACTATTAGATATAAAACAAATTGTTCTTGACCAAAAATATTGTTGTCCAGATATTATGGTATGACACTTGCTGACTGTAACAATGGTCATTGATAAATCTTTGTCATCCTTACCATGTTCGTATGATTTATAGAGGGAAGTCAACTACTTCAATTGGCAAAATAAAATATTTATGAGCTACCTCATGGAAACTGGCCTTTATAAGGGCACGCAACTTGTGAATTGTTTGTTTCAGTTGGTTCACCAAGAATGACAAACTTGCTTGCTGCACATAGCTATGAGTATTGCACATAGCATCAAATATGTACATAAACAACATTGTTTATGGTTATTTAAAATATAAAATGTGACTACTGTTCCATATAATGTATTTTTAAACTATATATGAATGTTTTATTTCACTTATGTATTACCTGTAAAACAAAAGGATTTTCATTCAAATGTTAACTAGTATGGTGATGTCATACTATCAAAGATTTGAACCTTCATTCTGTACTTTTTTTCTGAATTTTCACGGTCAAAATCAGCTTTTATAGGTAATACATGCTTGTACTGATATGATGTTATTCTTCATTAATCGTTTATAGTAATTCTCACTTTTACCTATATTTGTTTATTTAATTCTTGAATTCTCAAAAAATTGGAAAAGACAACCTAAAACTTAACAGTAAACTTTTGACCTCTACTTCTGAGTTTTGATTTTGGAAATGTTTTTCAAATTACAGCCCTCCATATGTGGATTAAAGGAGTTTTGGAGGGCTCTCAGGCCTAGATCCATGGATTTTTGTGAAAAATTGGCATCATATTATTTAAAATAAATAGCTATATGTAAATTGTCATTATAAATTTGGTCCTGAAAACTCTTAGAATTTTTTCAATCAACCCTTTGCTTTACATGAGCAATTAAAAGAACTGTAGCTGTGCTCTTTATTTAACAGTCACCAGTCCAGGCAAGTTAACAGTCAGTATTTTTAACATAAAAGTATTGAATAACTATACATATCTAATAATCATAATAATAAATAAACAGCAAAATAGAACAGAGTACCACTAATAATTCAATTAGAAAATAAATACATACTTTCAACTCGAACAAAATGTTATTATCAGTCACACTTTTTTAACAACATTGTTGATTAAGGAAAAGTATACTACGAATAAAGGACATCAGCCAAAAGAATGAATCATAATAATATAAAATAAACAGTAAAACAGGGACACAGTAACAGTAACTCTTGAATTAATAAATACAGATTGGCAAATATAACAAAAAGTTAAAGGAGAAACAGCACAACTGTGAAAAACATCCATTGTTTAAATTATCACTTCTCTTACATCTTGTACACTAAGCATTCAGTACATTTTATTGAAACAATGCAGCAACTAAACATACCTTCACAATAACGGTCTGCTCCAACATATCAGCTATATGCATCATTCTGGTGAGTTGTTTTATTAATAGAATCATTTTTAAGTAAAGGGGCATTATATAAATAAAAAGAATGAATTTTCCCATGTGAGTGACATTTAATGTGTGGTTATTACTCATTCATGTCAAATGGTTTCTGTTAACAAGATAAAAAACTGACACTGATTGAATACTGCCCAACAAACCTTCAAATGTTTAGAACTATCTTTTGAATTCCTAGCTAGCAAATGAATTTTCAAACACAACCCTAAACATAATACTTATTATATTAGGATGGATATACACATATCAGTAAAAAATTACCATAATACTAACAGAATGTAGAGTATCAGAAAAGATACACACGTAATACTAGTAAGGATCAATATTAGCACTATAAATTTCATAAACACCTACCTTCTTGTCTAGATCATCCTGCTCCAGGAGCAAGCGCTCCAGATCCTCCACATTATTATGTTTAAAGAAAACAATTTGACTTCTTGATGCACTTAGTCCCTTCTGAATGGGAAATGATACTCCTTCATCACTAAAGAAAGCATAAAGTATTCAAGTTCTTTGCTAAAGTTTACAATTCATATAACAATATCAAAGAGATCATTTCATCTTAAGATAAAATTCCCAGTTATTGATGGATTAGTTTACTGTTTAATTTTTAAAATATATGATGTAAACTTCTTTCCACCCACAAAAATTTTAAGGTATCAATAAGTTCCAATAATATCGACAGATTAGGTTTGGTGAATAATAATCAAACAACTGATAATGTTTCAAAAGTTACCAAGTTATACTTTGTCATCAAACAGCAACATTTTAGTTATTAAATCCAAAGGTATATATAATAAAAGAAAAATATCATAATTTTCAATTTTTTGTTTTAAGGTATCTTTAATAACTGAATAAATTAAATTACTGCAGACAGGTGGCCTTAAATAACTATACATTTTTTAGAAATGTTAACATTTTCTAATCTGAAAATACATTCTGATAGACATTAATTCACACAGAATAACTATCTTCTTTGTGCATCTGCAATTTACATGCCACTAACCTTGAAGTAACTCTTACCTAATTTCACACATTTGAACTGTACTAGTGCATGCTGATGTCATGATGTGACAAAAACCCTCACCAATAAGAGGGTAGCATAACCTACATGCACAGTAGTTCCCCCCTCTACACTTGCACTTATGATAACTTCATTCTTTGACAAGGCAAGACAAAAATGTGCACCACAAGTGGAAAGGACAGGTGGGAAGGTTTGCAGAGATGAATATCTATCAGAAATATATTTACATGTTGGGAAAATTTTGACTTTTGACACAATAACTCATCTCCACACACAGAATAGCTAGAATCTCACGTTGAATTGGTGGAGGGGCTAGTGCAAAATTTTACTTAGATGAGCTACCAAAAGAAACCTGAAGGAAACCTCATGGAGAGTAACATCTGATAGCAGGAGCTCCCTAGGAGGAACAACCGTAGGAAACTGCATCTTATCTTGACCAGAGTATACTTTTTGCTCAGAAAGTAGGGACAAAAGTAGCAACTAACATGACTGTCCAAGTACTTTCACACATACAGAGTTGGATAGCCAAAATGTGAAGTGTGGTTATAACACATTCATGCCTTACTTTGTGTGCTCACCTCAACTCTACTGAACAGACTCTGACTGCAGGAGGGCACATTTGTGTATTATGTTTCCATATAATGCTTGCTCACTGCAACTCTACTGAACAGATTCTGGCTGCAGGAGGAGGAGGACACATCAGTTTTGTATCATGTTTCCTGTACATTTTGTCCTCACCTCAACTGAACAGGCTCTGACTGCAGGAGTAGGACACAATAGATAAGTGAGGGGTGACCCATATTACACTGATAGTGTCACCACAGCTTCACATCTCACTTTACTGTGATAAGCCCAAGCAGTGAGGATTCTCTGTGGTCCACCACCCCAGTCTGCTAGTGGATATAAACTGGTAAGTTGCAAAGGTCTTCTATGCTCCACTTGAAGAAGAAAAAGGAGGGAAATCCTACTGGGGAGACTCAGATAAGTGCCTGGATGTCCATCAGACATCTGCTGGAAAGCTCTTTTACTGAAGAGCAAGTGAAAGCCAAAGAAGTGGACAGTCACTTCTCTGTTGTGGCCTTTTCCATGATAATCCATGGAAGGTACAGTCTGAATCAGGCAATTGAGTAATTTGTACACCATGAGGATATATCTAATGGTCTTGCAGAACTCCCTATCTCAACTCTGGGCACTGGTAGAGCCAGGGTGGATGGTTTGAGTGCTTTCTGTTAACCCTGGCCTCATTCCAATTTTGGGAAACAACACCAACCACCTGTGAAATAAAAAAGGAGTCTAAAAAAGACATTGTATGTATTATTCTAAAAATGGTGGGTTGAATGAAGAATGGTGACTGGTGGAAGCTAAAATCCAGCAGGAAATGAAACAGCCAGATGGGGGTAGATAATGAAAAACAAACACGTGGAGTCATCTACATGCCCACCTGGAAGATCTCAACCTGGGGCTACCAAAGATGAGAAGCAGGAGAACAAGAAAGGTGACAAATTTAATGCAAAGAAATGTGATATAGTCTGAGAGAATTCACATCTAGAAACAGATATACCAACCAGAGAAGTAGATAAACCCATCCAGTAAGGAGAGAGGAAGATCCTTGGAAGAAAAAGTATCCCGGGGTAGGGACAGGTGGTGACAGGGATCTTGAAAGAGAGGTCCCTGATAAGTAACACTAAACAACATGAACAGAACAGTGAGCCAATCTGGGTCCAAACAATTAAATAGGTAAGAGACAGAAGAAAGAAAGTATGGTTATGGTCCCAAGCTATAAGTCTTGGAAAAACTTATCGGTTTGGGGAGAGAAGTATACAAGTGTAGTGGAAAAGAATGCAAGAAACATCCATATGACAGTAATCACAGGCTAGAAGGAGGAGAAAATAAGTCAAGAGAAAGATGGTATAAAAAGCAAGAAGTCTATGGTTCAAATGAAGTACATGTGAGAAGGTGTAAAACTACATCAAGGTCCCAGTCAGGCATGGGAGTCAGGAGATGAAGGAAGTAGTGGAGAGGATGTGGAAGAAACACCCTGTGGCACCAGGAAAGGTGAAATGCAATGGACATGGCTGCTTGATAATCATTTAAGGGAGAGACTGACAAACCATTGATGAACAGCCAGGTACAAATGCAAAAATAGGTAGTTCACAGTATGATGGCCAGGACGAAAGGATGAGCCAACAATAAAAGACCCATTACTTTTGTAGATAGACAGGCCCAGTTGAAGGGTGATAGGAATGTGAGAAGTAAAATTCCACAAGATCAGAGAGCCCAGCCCAACAGGGAATAAACTGTACAAATACCACATGTGAAGATGGAGGGACAATATCTCTCGATGGAAAAGGAATGTGGAAGATTGAAGTAACAAAGAGACAATATAAGGTAAAAGAAGACGGTCTGGATGCTAAGGGAAGAAGCAAAGGAAACCAAGGCTGAGCTGGCCAAAGAGAATCCAACAAGAAGTATTGTGTATCAAGGCGAAGACCTGAGGCAGGAGATGAAGAGTGGAGAGGCATATAGAAAAAGGTGAAAACAGGCTTGGCCGAAAGCATCAACATCCTGAGCCTAAGGATGAAGAGCAGAGAACCAGAAGAGAGGAAGCTCAGAGCTGAGAATGTGAAAAAGGTATGTATAACCTTATCTGCCCAAGCATCCTTTACTGCATATGAGGTATTTAGTAACTTACATTCAAAATTTAATTAAACTACTTTTTATTCATGTTATATCAATTACTATGGCATAAATTCATAGCTAATAATCCATATTTTTACACAAGTTTCAAGTTCTTAATTTTATAAGGAAATATAAAAAAAATCCTGACTTTCCCCTAGCATGAGAGACGTGAATTTTTTCTCTAAGCAACCCCTCGTCTCTAATTTATTCACCACCCCTCTAATAAGTACAAAATTTAATGTATGTTACTCACTACAAAAGCATAATTTTTATAACCTTCAATCTTGTTTGTTTACAGAATCAAACAGAAAATCAGACCTCCTCTTGCTACACCCATCTATCACATCCTATCTTTCAGGATTTGTTAATAGTTTCTCTTATGTTCAATTCTATATTACTTATAACCAATAGAAAGCCAATGTTTTCATCTATCAAATAATGTATTATATTGTGTTGTGTTCTGAACAGAAAATTGTCAATTTCTCGTTTAGTGCAAGCTTCATTCCTATTGGAAACATATTGACTAACTTGTATGAATTTGTAATGGCTGTTGCCTCATAGTTAGAAAGCCAGAAAAATTGTCATTGTTAGAGAAAATTGTCTGCTTTTTGCATGTTATTGTTCTATGTTCTTTGATGCATATATAAATTAAATTAAAAATATTTAGTGCACTACTACCATTAGTATAAAAAAATAGGGTTAAGTGATCTTGAAAGTCAACAGCAAGAAAAGAAGACCCAGGTAAGTACTTTATCTCTTGTTTTTCATGTGCATTCTTTAGTTATTGTTATAAAAGTAACTAATATGTAAAAATAGGAATCTATTTAGGTTAGTTAAAGTAGATTAGATAAAATAAATAACAATATAATAAAAATTTCAGGAGGCATCCACAGGAGCAGGTTGTGGGTAATGTAATTCGATAATTGTGTAACGTGAGATCTACATTCCCCAAGCGATTTACAACTTATAACGATGCAAATAGTAGTTAGACATAGTTCAAAAGGGCAATAAAACAGTAAAATTTAAGCATAAGTAGATATATACTGTTACAAGTTTAAAGCTACTTAAAATAAACGAATGTAGTTTCATGTTACATTACGAATTAATTCTAGAAAAAAAAAAAAGGAAATTTACATTTATCTTGATTTCTTTTTGGTGGTTATGAGGTTGGTCAAAGTGACCAACCTTGTATAGGGTTAGGGTAGAGAAAATAACTGATAAAATATAATGTTTTACCAATAACAAATGCATTATATATGTACTTAGGGAGGTTTCAGAGATTACGCAAACAAAATGCAAGATTTTTCAGATAAAGAAGGGTATTTTTAAACTCAACAAGAAAACATTTTGTACTTGAAAGGTCTCTCTCTCTCTCTCTCTCTCTCTCTCTATATATATATATATATATATATTCATGGACAAATCATTTTTTTAATTTATTAAAAATAATTCACAAAAAATCTAATTTTTTGTATGTGAAAGACTTGTACTGTTTACTGAAAGTCTGCCATATTTTGTGAAGATACACATAATATATTAAAAGTTCTTAGTTTCAAAAGTAACAACTTTAAAGGAGTACAAAGTGGTCACATGGTCGGTCAATTCGACCAACAAAAGACCTGGGAGTGTAGAGACCATTCAATTTGTATAATGTAGGCTGGCCAAGAGAGGCATTCTACCACCATGTTCTTAGCTCCTGGCAAATGGGCCCAGAAGAGTATGTTCAATGCTCAAAAGCAAAGGGTCCTGGAACAGAACCCTCCTCGATGATTGGTGTAAGA